CTGATAGGTAGTTATTAATTCTTTAACGAGAGATAAGTTAAGAGACACTGAGGCATAATGTAAAGCAGTGAGGCCATTCTTAGTGACTGCAGTAGGAGACAAACCTTGTTCAGTAATAAGATACTGAACTAAATCAAAGTTACCACTCCATGCAGCATAATGTACTAACGTGCGTCCTTCATTATCTGTTTTCTTAATATCACAATGCTGTACCTCAATGAGATATTGAGTGATATCAATGTGACCATGACGACAAGAATGATGAAGACATGTCATACCATACTTATCAGTAATATTAGGATCACTGTTATGATTATTTATAAGATACTTAACAGAATGAATACTACCTGACCAGCTGGAGTAGACTAGAGGTGTACGCCCATAAGTATCAGTATCATTAGCATTGAGATTATACTGAGATATGATATAACTTAATACACTCGTAGAACCTGACCAGGCAACATAATGTACTGGAGACCTACAATCATTAGTTAATGTATAATTGATATTACATTCTTCTAATGCTTTGACTAGTAATGTACTGCCACTGTCTGATGCAAAATGGAGTAATGACTTACGATCATTTGTAGTGGCATTGATGTCAAAGTTAGGGCAAGTGCTAGCTTTCTTGATAATTGAAGAAAACATTTTAACTCTTTCATTTCGTTTGCTAAAATCAACTTTTGTTTTAATTCTAGTTCTATTAATAATATCAATAAATGATGAATCACTTTGTGCTATAAGCTTACTATACACAATGCCAGCTGGAATATGTATAGCTGCATCACATGCATAATGTAAACATGACCTACCATTATTATCATTAACTAATAATGCTTCATTACCTTGAATACTAACAATATACTCAACAACTGATGATAAAGCAAACCATGAAGCAAAATGAAGTGGAGTCCTACCGTATTTAGAGTCCTTTACATCAATGGAATATAGATATCGATGTAAAAGATATTTAAAAAGCTCAACACTTTTATTATTCACAGAACGACAAGTAAAATGTAGTATACCAGCACCTGACTTTGTCATGTCATCTGGTGAGAAGAGGTTCAATGATTCAAGCTTTTGAACTAATGCTAACTCTCCACTTTGACAAGCTAACAATGATAAAGAGACAACTTCACAATTAATTTAAGAAGTATTACAATTTCTCTCAATAAAGAATTCCACTAGGTCAGAATGGCCTCCCATTGTTGTGTACAGTAATGCAGTATTATTGCTATTGTCTGGTTGATCAGGAGGAACGTGACACGTGTCTACTAGATATTGTACTATAGATAAGTGGCCTTTATAAGATGCCATATGTATACTAGATACACTATTATCATCACCTTCATTAGGATCAATACCATATTGATGGATGAGTAGTTGAAGTATCTCAATGTGTCCACCATATGATGCAGAGTGTAATGGAGTCCAACCATGAAGACCACGATGATATGTGTTGTAACCAAACACATTAAGAAGCCATTGTACTTCATCTTTTAATCCTCTCCAAGCTGCTTCATGTAATGATGTACTGGTATTCTCATACCATAATGGATCACATATATCTATAAATGAAGAACATTATTAATAATACATGTATGTAATGTTGTTTGACAATTGCCCAATGGAGGGATTGACTAAATGTTAGTTCATATACTTACCAATATCAGTGGATGAGTGCTTAACCTCTTCTTTTGAGAACTGTAAAATTATTAATAATATCAAAATTATATTCACATAATTATAACAAACCTCTCTTAGATCATATTTATTTTCACCACATGTTAGTTCAGTGATACCAATACTAGCTAACTGTTGCTGTAGCTTTGTAGTTAGAGGAAATAATACAAAATAAAGATACTCAGGAATGAGGTAACCCAAACAGAGAGACCCATCATGGACAAAACTGAAGTAAAGGTCATATTCACGAATATCTAAACCTTTTGGTATTGCTCTACAAAAGAAGAATATGTCATCCAGTGTGTAGTCATCTCTGTCCACTTTAGCAATCATTACTTGTG